ATGGAGGAACATCTTTCTACTGATGATGGTGGAACATCTTTCTACATCTGATGGTGGAACATCTTTCTACATCTGATGGTGGAAAAAACTGTTTCTAGAGACTGTAGAAATCCAAAAAGTTAGACTCTATAGTATGCAGACAACACTTTATTTGATTCCCAGATGTTGGTTTTGGTTCCAGGCTGTTTGTTGTTGTTGTTGTTGTTGTTGTTGTTGTTGTTGTGACTGTTGGTCACAGTGAGTCAGTCGTGGCTCAGAAATATTTGTTGTTTTACAGGATCTGGTGCAAACGGTTTATGTTTGCCGATGTTTTTTAAATGAAGCTCGTAAAGCAAATGACTTTGACACCGTTCCAGCTCAGAGTTTTAATGTTCTCACTGGAAATGATCAGCTCCACTGGCAGGAAGTCAAAACTCTACTGGTTCGTTGTGTATTTACAGTCGTTGGCTGTAAAACAACACGCCTTCAGGACGGTTCCGTTTCGTGGATCTTGATCTGCACTTTGTGCAAAAGTGAATAATTCGGCCTCGTGGTGGCGCTACAGAAATGTCCAGGGTTCAGTGAACGATGACGTCTTGACAGAAAACTGTCTGCGTGACCAACTAGCCTCTAATCTAAACACCGTCCTGAACACCTGAGAACTCACGTTGCTCTAACGTACACTAAACGTTCCTGTAGAAGCTGTTGACGGATCTCAGGACGGCTGCTGCTGCTGCTGCTGAGCAAACCGCTGGCAGCCAAACTGCAGCGTGTTTACCGTGAGCGCTGTCTGGCCAAAGTTGAAGGTCGGCGACGCAGGGAACAGCGAGAGATAAAAGATTTTTGGCATGAAAACAGCCCGCCGGCGCAGGAGAATCTGAGATAAACGCTGATATCTGCAGCTAGTCGACGCCCCGCTTTATTGTGTGACGTCGACTCATCGTTGCAGCAAAACAACATTAAAAACACACCGACAGCTGCTGCAGTTCAACAACCATACACCCTGAACACAGGCTCACGTGGGCCTCTAAAGGAGACAAACCATGACTAGACGGAAATCTAATTCTAGCTGAGTCATAGTTCATAGTTCTAGTGGCGGTGCTGCACAGTTAGTAAACGTTAAATGGTTTCTGACGGTTTAAATGCTCCGTTCAAACCAAAAAAAACATTTAGATAAAATCAGCTGGTTTCTAATACTGTAAATTCTACGTTAAACCTCCTTATTTCACTATTTTAAAGGTAATTTTTGGTTTCGTAGTCACTGAGTGGAGACTAGAAGCTTCTCAGTGCACAGCTAGCTGGCTAGCTAGCAGCTAGCATGTAGTGTAGCCTGAATGTGAGATGTTTAGGGAAGACTGGGGAATTCTAGTGTCTATTTATGAGCAGATATTCAGAAAAATAGGTGTTTTGGGTACAACTTTTTAAATTTGTTGCCTCTAAAAGATGCTCTGAATACAAAAGAAGGTTTTATTTTGATTTACTGACAAGATAGAAGTGCTTAAAAACATGTTTGGGCTTTTTCATTTTCCTGTCATGTATATATTCTCAAGTATTATTATCTCAGAGTTGATGAAAGCCTCTTTGGGAAAAGAGCTCCAGGAGAAACTCTGTAGTTGTTTGGTCCACGTGTACCACCACGTTAATGCAGAATAACTGTATTAATGGAGACATCGTTTGGTATCTAGTTAATCCTGATCAGATGTGTTTTAACAAGTCAGAAAATGGTGAAAATCAGTGTTTCCCAAAGCACAAGAGGACAAATGTCTTCTTCTGATCTTCCGTTTATAGTCACAGAGGAGGAAAGAAATTGGAAAATATTCACATTTAAGAAGCTAAAACCAGAAAATTTAGACATTTGTTTTACTAAAAACAAATAGAAAACTGATTTAATACCAAATAACTGATGTGTAATTGTTGAAAAACTCAACAGAAAGACCCTGTACAGGTGTATGAGGACACCATTACTGCAAGCAAAAGCTATAAAAAGTCGTAGCATGTGGGGTAAAGACACCCCGACATTACACCTGCATGCTGACCAACGTCACAGAAACCCTTTAAATATTCAACCACACAACTTCTAGTCCAGAAAACTCTGCTTCAGCAGCAACTTGGCAACACGAACGCATGCCAGCGTCGAAGGACACGAGATTAAAACTCTCACCTGTTGAGCTTGAAGTCCGGAGAGAAGATGAGTTTCCCCGGATGGTCCACCGACCTCCACATCAGGCCCAGCATCAGGATCTCCAGCCAGCAGCACTTGAGCAGGTGGATCTGGTCGGCTAGACTCAGCTCTACGAAGCCTGGAGACAAACGTGGACGAGGACAGGGTTCACGCTCAGACTTTCAACGAGTTTATTAAAGGCTAAATTAACCTCGGAGGGAAACTGCTTGTTAATGCTGCGGATATAAACTAATGAGAGGTTCAAGAGAGCATTTTAGGATTGAAGGTGAGGAACATCAACAGAGAAGTTTCCAAAACATTTTTCGTTACTGTCCTTACAGGTTCCATTTCCCATCAGTCCCCTTCTTCTTAAGCTGTGGTAGAAATTTCACTACTTTAACATAGTTTTGTGTTTTTTTCCTGTCAAGCGATACAAACAAATCGTTGCAGTAGCATCTTGAACATCTGTCTAAACTCAGATGATGCTACAGGATATCTGGTGAGTCGATACCCACGTGTTAAACAGATAAAACTTTGGTGGTCGATATTTTCTAACTTAATGCTGTTGAATACTGTAGAGACCAGAGGAGGCGTCACTTGAACAGTTCATGAGTTTAGCTAGCAACAGCACCGTGGCAAAGACTTCAGTGGAGATTAATGACCATCTGCCAGATTTCATGTGTTTAAGACAAACTGGATCGACTAGGACGGTGTCTGTATGACGTAACAGAGCCCAAATCAGTTATTCAGTTGTCGAACACATACATCAGATTGACTTTAATAACTTTAACAGACTCGAAGTTTGTTTTTTTAGAAAATGGTATCAGAGTAGCACTCCATGTCAGCGGACGCTAAATATTAAATGACTCGGATCGGAAATCTGTGATGTTTTTTTACCTTCTTCAAGGTGCTTTTGAACTGATTGGTATCTGCACAAACCTGAGCGTTATCCTTCCAGTATGTTCGCATTCACAGAGCTGTCATAAAAAGAGCAACATTTCTGGCAGGATACTAGCAGCTAAGGATGCCAAGTTTGAATATTTCTCTGATTGTTATCCACCAAAAAGGGACTAACTGACAACATGTATTAACCCTTTCAACACTACAGCCCGCTATACCGGGCTGGTATTATGACTCCCGTTCAACCTTGCAGCCCAGTATAGCTGCTCCGGTATACGGCGACTTTCTGTTACATTCATTTTGATTGGCTATCAGTGGGAATCCCTGTATGTGAACAAGCATCCAGTCATTCAATAAATTATGCAAATGTCATAAAATGAAGTCGTTTGACCCCAAAAATCACCAGAAAACGGGATTTTCACAACCTCGTTTCCGAAATGTTTATAAGCGATCAAAACTAACCAGCTAACTACAAGACTTTGGCTGATGTCTCCGTATATAAGAACTGATAATTAATTGCATAACAGGGTTCTCACCAGCATTATAACAGAGTAACGACTCGTTACGCTGCTGCCTGAAAAAATTACGCTGCAAATTGGGCCTTTATGTTGTTTTCGAGGGTACGTAACGGGAAAACATTTAACAACAAGCGCTGATGGAGTTTCACTTCCTTCGCTGCTAACACTGCTATTTGTCGGCGTATTCGCCGCTAAGCGTTAGCAGCATTAGCTAAGAGGCTCCATCTGGTGGAACAACCAGGTACTACAGCTGATCTATGATATATTTACTGACATCATGTAGAGAAAACAGCTTTACAACAAGGTTCATGAACACCTACACGACATCAAGGAACAGTCTGGACGCAGAGCTCCTCAGCTGTCAAGCGAATGCACTGGACTGATTTTATTAACTTTAATGTAGGAACGGTATCAGATCGGGGCTCCTCATCAGCAGATACTACATATTAAATGTCTCGGATCAGGATGCTGGGATCCTCTCTGGTCTCACAGGTGATTCAGCTCCACAGGTAAGCTAATAAACGACCCTGACCTCCTTCTGTTAACGCCTGGACAATCACGGCTCACCTTTCTGCACAACACATGGCAACAAATCCAACATGGAGGCAACACAACATGAAACTGGACACAAAGCTGGAGAACGAAAGGAGACTTCAAGATTTAAATAAAACCCTTAAATTTAATTAGCATCTTTTGCAACAACTTCCTGAATTATCTCGCATTTACCTAAAATTGATTTCTGCACTGGAACTGAATGCATTATGTATGTTCGTACACGACTGTAACTCTGAGCTCAGACTTCTTTCTGCACATTTGGTAGTTTAGTCGATTTTAATTTTAAGGCAAAAACGCATTTTCTTTTTTCACACACTTGAGAATTTGGAGATTTCGTGCATTCTGATTCCACAGCGTGTTTTCTTTCAGACTAAAAGGAAGAAAAAAAACACATTTAGGTGTTTATTTAACAAAATTTCATCGATTTTTATCTGTTCATTTCAATTCTAAGAGTCATCTTTCAAGTTTTTTTCTCCTCTAAATAAGAAATCTCCTCTTCAGCAGCATTTACAGTCACTAAACTTACTGGTTATATTTCTGCTGTTGTTCTGAAGATTGCAGGGATTTGTTTTAAATATCATTCACAGCCTCATTTTTACACTTTATTCCTTAAAAACACGAAGAAAATGTATATCTTTCTGGCTGTTGATGGTATTTTTAGATAAAAAAAAAAAACAAACCAACAAACAAAAAAATAGATTCTAACATCATGGCTGGATTTATCAAAGTTTTTCACATTAGGTTGCATTTATTTATCTAAAAATACTCCATTAAACTATTTGTAAGGTCTTCAATGGCATATTTTCCTCTGTGGAAAGGTGGTTTTCTCCTTTTTTTTTCATCCCGTCTTTTACCGAACACACAAAACACTGTTGATCTTCTCATTTGACTCCATGTAAAGCAAAATACGTTCTCAGAGATAATCAACGTAAACGCTCTGATGTCAAAATCAGCACGACAGCAGCTAATTCTGCAACAATGAGGTGATTAAACAGCAGCTTTAGATGCCTCCTGCTCACCTGCTCTCACTTCTTTTATAAAGCAGACAATGAACTCTCATTTTCACCTCTGAGTAAAGGGGGGAAAAAGTGTCGGGAAATCAGGAAAAATGGTCTTTTTTTTTTTTTTTGAAAAAACAGAAAAAAAAAATCTGGGAAGATGGTCTTTATTCAAAAAAAAGTGGGAGTCTTTGTGACGCCGTCGTGCTGAGAAGCTACCTGCTGGGCTGGAGGCTGCCGAGAGGAGACAAAGAGGACGGAAAAGAAAGCAAAGGAGGCGAGAGGGAAGGAGGAGGAAGCCGAATCTGATAGAAATAAGATCAGTTAGTCGAGACGAAAGCCGCTAATCGCAGCTTATATGTGAATATGCACAGAAAACGGCAAAAAAACAAACTACAAATTAACGCTTAATGCTCTATAATTATGGAAATACTAGGAGCTGATTTGTTGAGATAAACAGCTGGAAAGAAAAGAAAATAATTTACTTAAAAGAGCATGAATTTAAATCATGAACAAAATGTAGAAAACAAGGAAATGTTTATCTGCGGAGTGCTAATGTCTCCACACACGTTAACGTTTCTAAATCTGCCACATGCAAAAAAAAAAGATTTTTTAACGCTTTTTCTTACTTTATCGACAGCAATAAGAAAACTATCCTATAAAATGTTCAATAGTTTAACTTCAGCTGCAGCCGTTTTCAAATATCCAGAGTGGAACGAGTCCAACATGGACTGAAAAGCTACTCAGAGAAGAAGAAGACTCCAAAGGAAACATAAAAAAGTCAGATTACAGTAATGACCATCGGCACATCTGGAGGAAAAAGGAGGAAGCTTGAAGCCTGAGAACACCATCCCAGCTGTGAAGCACGGGGGTGGCAGCATCATGCTGTGGAGGGACTGGTGACCTTCACACAATAGATGGCATCATGAGGAAAGAACATGATGTGGAAATGTTGAAGCAGCATCTCCAGACATCAGCAGGAAGTTAAAGCTTGGACACTAATGGGTCTTCAGATGGACAATGACCCTCAGCATAGCGCCAGATTAGCTACAGAGAGGCTTCAGGACAACAGAGTCAGTGTTGTGGAGTGGCCATCACAAAGCCCTGATCTCAGTCCTGGAGAACATCAGTGGAGCAAAGAGACCAACAAACCTGACTCAGTTCCACCAGTTCTGTCAGGAGGAATGGGCCAGAACTCATCAGACTGTTGTGAGAAGCTTGTGGAAGGAAACCCAGAACGTTTGACCCAAGTCATAGAGTTTAAAGGCAACGTTACCAGATACTGAGGAGATGGATGGAAACTTGTGGTTTCAACTGTACCTCCACATTTGAGGATTACAATAAAGAAAAGAGGATAAAATCTGTAAAAAATAAAAATAAAAAAAAACTTTATGGACTGTCAGTGTCAGTCTGGGTCTCACCGGGGATCTTCTTGGCCCAGCTGATCATCAGAACCAGCTCCTTGTCCGCCAGGCTGGTGAGTGACATCATCATGCTGGCCTCAGTGAACGGCTTCTTCATGTCCTCCATGAGGTAGATCTCCGGCGGCTCGGCCTCCATGATGCGGGAGATGAACTCCTCGGGGCTCATGGCCGAGTGGTGCTGGTGCGTCGCCCGGGGCAGCGGGTAGAGCGGCGCCCCCAGGTGGAGGTGGCGCTGGGCCCGGGAGCCCAGGCCAACCCGGACCAGGCCCCGGCCGGCGGCGTCCCGGGGCTGCAGAGCGCCGCGGCGGTGACGGGCGCCTCGGTAGCTGCAGCGCTCACGTCTGACACCTGCAGGACAGGGACGGAAACGCAGACGGACTCAAAACGAGGAAGTAGAGCCGGAGCGACCAATTGATCACCGGACTAGACGTCAGCGGATTTATAATTGATTAACTGGTCTGAGAAATTCTTTTTAAAAGCAAATTGTATCGATTAGCCAAAAGCTACGACAATAAATTGACTATTTGTTGATTACCGTAAGTTCCGGACTATTGAGGCACATGATTATGAGCCGCAGGTGTCCACATTGTAACATAAGATATTTATACAGAAAGATGTTTTAAACTTTTAATTACATACGTACCGGTAACATACACAAATACGTAAATGCTTTTCTCTGAACAGTTCCTGGAACACGGCTGGTTAAGAAAATAAAAACTCCTGCAGCCTACCAGGAAGAGTCATTGATCGCTATCTTCATCTTCCTCCTGCACTAAAACCACTAAAGTCGTCTTCTTCAGTGTCTTCAGGAGTCGAACAGCCTCAGAATCACTTCATCACTTCCTCAGTCTCTCTTTCGTTGTCGAGGCAAATTCGTAAAACTAGTAAAAATCCATTTATTAGTCGCATTGTTCAAAGTGTGTGAAAAAAGTAGCGGCTTATAGTCCAGACATTACGGTAACTTTTCTGTCAGTATTTCCTGAAAACGGTGCAAAACTGTAACGAGATGGCAAAATAAGACTGAGGAAGGACCTCGGTTTCATTTTAAGGAGCTTCTTCAGGCCCTGAGATCTTTGTTTTTGACTCTTTTTGACTCTATAAGTAGCAATAATTATTATTCATCCATTTCTATACACCGCTTAATCCTCATTAGGGTCGCGGGGGGGCTGGAGTCTATCCCAGCTGACTCAGGGTGAAGGCAGGGGACACCCTGGACAGGTCACCAGTCTATCACAGGACTACACTTAGAGACAGACAACCAAGCACACTCACATTCACACCTATGGACAATTTAGAATCACCAATTAACCTCAACATGTTTTTGGACTGTGTGGGAGGAAGCCGGAGAACCCGGAGAGAACCCACGCTGCACGGGGAGAACATGCAAACTCCACGCAGAAAGATTCCGGTGCCCCCACCGGGACGCGAACCGGCAACATTCATTAGTTGTTCAATTAATCACCAACTATTTTGGAAATTTGTTGAATCAGTTCAGTTTAGTTTTTTTTATTGCTATCATTATTATTATTATTATTATTATTTAAAACTGTCTAAATTCTCTGGTTCCACTCTCTTAAAAGGGAAATTTTTAAGCTTTTTAAGATATTTTTTCACAATTTCCACATATTACGGAGGAGGAAATACTCATTACATGAAACAATAATGACAATAATTGCTAGTTGCAGAGCCGGCGTCGTCTCGTTTTAATCAAATGATTAAATGTTTAATCTATAAAATGCTGGATTTCCCTCTCAGCCTCCGCTCTGTGGAAACACTGCCTGCAGCTCAACCCAAAACTTTCTGTCTTTTGGTCACAGCTGAGTCCGTTGTGGTTTCTCAGTTTGTTTGTTTTTTACAGAATCTGGATTTATTTTGGGAAAAATTTCTAAATGGCACATGTAAAATAAAATTTAAACTCAGATTCACACATAATTAGTTTGAGGATTGTTAGAAAAATGTTAAAATGTCAATTCTTTCTGTTTTTACAGTTTCCAGCTGATAAATGTTCATTTTTAAATTTAGTTTTTAAGAAAATGTCTTTCAAATCTGTCTGTTTGTTGTACTAATATTTTATTTTGTATAATATTTCATGACTGTACTTTATCTTGATCATATTCGACTGTACTGGTTTCCATTAGTGTGTAAATGAGTTTTTTTTTTAACCATCTGATCACTTGTAAACGTCTCTTAATTTGTTGAAAAGTGTTGTATGAATAAAGTTTGACTAAATACAGTCTTTGTTTTCTACTTACTAAACTGTAAAAAGTGTGACAGGAGAAATTTTACACTACAATCAACTTTACAACAAGAATAAATGCGTTGAATTCTCTCATCAGCAGCGGGTTTTTGCCTCTGAGTGAATCTTTTTTGACTGTTTTTCAGCTTTAACAAACCCGACGGTCCTCAAACGTCGTCACAGCAACATTTAAAGCATTCACACGTGTCAGAGGAATCTCAAAGTGACTCAATTATTCCTACGACGAGGGGAAATTTGGTGGAAACTCAACCAAAATTGCTGTTGTTTTTTTTTTTAGGGCAGTTTGCTGCCGTCAGGACTGACAGAGCGGTTTCCTACATTTCTGTCAGCAGCTGGTTTAACCTCCTGCAGCTAATTGGAGCAACTTAGCTGCAATTTGAACAGTTTTTTTTGTGATAGAAAACGGTTTGAAAGGGTTTAGTCCTGTTTATCCGGAGAAGCAATCAGAAAAATAAAATCTAACGACGCTCATTCTGCATCAGAACTTCTACAGAAATTCTTATACGTTGGTGTTTTTATTGTAATTTCTCTACATTTACTTCTGAGCTCTTATCTTGGTCATTATAGGGACAAGTCATACAATTTGTACCTTCTTACGTCAATTAAGCAGTTAAGTTTTTACATGGATCTCAACATAAAATGCAGACAGTGGAGATTTATTTTCATAAATGCGTAGAAGAGGTCTGGAAAAGTCTGATCCACGACGGGGCGTGAAAGAAAAATCCACTTTTAGGCTCTTAGATCAGTATTTATTTTCATGTCAATCGTCTGTTAGTGATCAGTTGCTGACACTTTGAGAAACTGAATTCGTGCGTGCACTGTGACAGACTGGTTACCTGTCCAGGTGAACCTGCCTTCACCCTGAGTCAGCTGGGATAGACTCCAGCCCCCCATGACCCTAGTGAGGATTAAGGGGTGTATAGATAATACATGGATGGATTTGTACGGGTTCAGAGTTGCAGGTTGAAGCGACTTATCCAGTCAAAATAAGGATCTCTGTGCCTGAAGAAGCTCCTTAAAATGAAACCGAGGTCCTTCCTCAGTCTTATTTCACCATCTCTAAACAGTTTTGCATCGATTTCAGGAAATACTGACAGAAAATTAACGTAAATTCCAGACTATAAGCCGCTACTTTTTTCAAACGCTTGGAACACTGCAGCTTAAACAACGATGCAGCTAATTTATGGATTTTGACGAATTTGATTCGAGAGCGATGACAAAAGAGAGACTGAGGAAGTGACAAAGTGATTCTGAGGCTGTTCACCTCCTGAAGACACTGAAGAAGACGATTTTAGTGGTTTTAGTGCAGGAGGAAGATGAAGATAGCGATCAATGATTTTTCCTGGTAGGCTGCTGTAGTTTTATTTTCTTAACCAGCCGTGTTCCAGGCACTGTTCGGAAAAAAGCATCTGTATGTTACCGCTACGTATTTAATTAAACGTTAAATCTTTCTGTGTAAATATCTCATGCTACACCTGCATCTTATATAGTCTGGGAATTACGGTATTAGTATTGCACAGATTTGTCTGCAAGTAGAAAAATGAGTTCTTAAATATAAACTGTAAGTTGCCGTATGCAGCTTTGATTAAATGATTTGGTCTCACAGAGAAGCAACTGATATTGTTGGAAAGATCAAGTTGTGCAGTTTAATTTGACACTTCATTGTGATAAAATACTTTGATTTAACCAAGAAGAAGGGATGTAAATGTGTGATCGCTGTAAAAGCAGAGGGACGCCTACCGCACTTCATCATGCCCACTTCGTAGCATTTGCGGAGGCGGCAGGCCTGGCAGCTTTTGCGCCGGTTCTTGTCGATGGTGCACTGGTTGGTGGCCGGACAGATGTAGTCGTTGTGTCCTGAGGAGAGGAGACAAAGAGTTAGCGAAGGGGAGGAAGAAGAAGAAGAAAAGCTGAACGGATAAAAGACTCACCCTGGATGCTCCTCTTGAAAAAGGCCTTGCAGCCTTCGCAGGACCAGACGCCGTAGTGGTACCCGGAGGCGTAGTCGTGACAAACGGCGCACAAGTGCATGTCGGCTTTGCCCACCGTGGACGAGCACGAGGAGGACTTGACTCCGTCCGGTCCGTCCTCAGACTTCTTCCCCAGCAGCTTGTTACAGCCGATGATGGAGCTGCAGGAGGAAACGCAGCAAACAGGAACAACTTGACATCGAGGGTTTGAGCTCGTCATCCGGCCACCGTTAGTCAGTCGACAAGAGAAAAAGGCACCACGCGTCAGAAAGCTGTACAACTAAACCGGCTTCACCACGGAAATATGATGTGTTTATTAATCCGGAGCACAGAAAATGACATGACAGGTTTGTCACGACGCCACGAAGGTTTTTCCATCTCAGGTCCTCAGTTTGCTTAAAACTTTGTTATCCTCAACTCTGGATATTTAAAAGTGTATCAGGCAAATCTTTTAACTCACAAAGTGTTCGATATATGAAGCTAAAATTTCACAAATATCTTTAGAAATACTCATATGTTATGCTATTAAAATTTCAGGCAAATTGATGAAAATTTGATGATTGGACATAGAACTACTGACTTCTAAGAGGTCCTGAAAAAAACACTGATTAGTAAAACTCAGAGATGACAAATGCTGATTTTTAAATGTACCATCTTTATCTACCGTTTCTTGTATGATGATTTGAGCATTTGAAAATTGAAGAACTGAAGTTAAAAGTATAAAGTTTGTATTTTGTTTTTTTTTGCTTTTTAAATTGCACCAATGTCAGCCATTTTGAAAAAGTCACGGCAAGTTAAATTTTTGCCAATGCTTTTAAAACATAATGTGAATGCCAAAATTCATTCTTGTGTGATTACTGTTTAAAAAAAGGAAAAACCAAGTTTAAAAATATTTTAAAAAATCAAAAATCCAAAAACATGGTACCATTGTCCGCCATCTTGAAAAATGGCTGCCGTTGTTAATTTTTGCTAATTCTTTAAATACGTAACGTAGACACCACATTTAATTCTTGCATGACAATTTGAGCATTTGAAAATTGAATAACTGAATAACCGATTTTAAAGACATTTTTAAAAAAATAAAATAAAAATCCAAATGTTGTCGGCCATCTTGAAAAATGGCTGTCTTTTTGAATTTTTTGCGAGGCTAAGGCCTTTTAATACGTAATGTAGATGCCGCATTTGATTCTTGTATGACAATGTCCGCATTTGAAAATTTAATGATCGAGTTTAAAGATTTAAAAAATACAGCACACATGTCCGCCATCTTGAAAAATGGCTGCCATTTCAGGTTTTGTGTGGCTAATGTGTTCGTCATGCCATATTTGATGCTTGTATGTCAGTTTGAGCATTTTTTTCAGTGGTTTTTGGCTTGTTGCTGCTGCTGTGTTTGGGTGTCAGTGGTCCTACCTGCTCTGGCCGATGCCGTGGGCTTTGGGCTCCAGCCAGGGTGCATGAGGGCCAGGTTCGTTGTAGACCAGCGGCTGGGTGCAGTGCAGGGTCAGCTGGGGGACGCTGGGGTGAGCGTGGGAGGGCCAGAAGGCGGACGGGCTGAGGGGGGCGCAGAGCGAGGCCGGGCTGTCGCTGATGGTGGGCCGGCTGTAGCCCAGCATGGACGGACTGTAGAAGGTCAGGGGGCCGTGGCTGAAGTCGTGGCTGCTGTCGGTGTACGGTGACGGGATGCAGACGGTGTGGCCGTCCACACCCAGGGGAGGGCTGTACATGGCGGGCAGCAGCCCTGGCGAGCTGGGCCTCTCTGGGGCTTTGCTGGAGTCAACCTCCTGGAGCTGAAGCAGTGGCAACGGGTCGGCGTCCAGCAGGGGGGAGGAGGCCATGGCAGGGAGGAGACAGCGGGTGTGACGAGATGCGACGCTGCAGCTGCTTCCTCTATCGCATGTTCTTCTGCAGACAGGTCCTGAGGTGCAGCCAGAGGAGACGGTGTGAAGGTGGTTTTAACAAGAACCAAGTCATCACTCCTGCTTTAGCCTGTTTACACGAACACCTGGTATGTTTAGGGATAGATTTGAGGACTTTACTGTTCACTTTTCAAGCCGTTCATGGCCTTTTTCCCAGTTAAACCCTAGTTAGAATTCAGACCTTTCGGTACCTTATGCACGAGTCAGTCTTCTGTCTGTTCCAGGGCCCCGAACTGTCTTTTACTTTGTTTATTAATTCTTCTACCTCTTTTCAAGCACCATGTTGTGCTTTTACTGGTCTTATAAATTCTAAAATTTTATGACTTGTTCTATTTTGCTGTCCTGTGAAGCACTTTGTAACCTGGAACCTAAAAAAGTGTCTATAAATAAAGATTATTATTGTTATTATTATTGTTAAGATAATGACACAAAACTGTAACGTCACAACGTTGGGATGCAAATTTTTAGCAGTTTTCTTCACCAATAATCATTTTGTTTTCTCATGAAACTACTTTGAATATTAGTTGTTCTCATGGCGTAAACAATTAGCCACTAATTGATAATGACGGTTTCTGGTTGGAGGTAATTAAGCGTCACATTAGTCTCTGTCATAGTCCCATTGCTAGCTAAACTCCCATAATGCTCTCTGCTTGCTAACATGAACTGTCGTCTGAGTGACGCCTCCTCTGGTCTCTACAGTAAGAAACAGTGAGAGGCTCCACCTGGTGGAACAACCAGGTACTACAGCTAGACTCAAAAACTTGACTAAAACGTCTTGACACGTCTCCAGAATGACTCAAAGTTTGTCTAAAATCCTGAAAACTGGTTCATATTTTCTTGGAACCGAATTGTCAGAAAACAAACAAACATGAAAATGACTAAACTTTTGTCGAAAACGACTTCAAAATTGTTCAAAATGATTTGAAACTTGTCCAAAACATGTTGACACTTGCTAGCTAAACTCCCACAATGTTCTCTGCTGCCAACATGAACTTCCTGTAGTCTGAGTGACGCCTCCTCTGGTCTCTACAGTATTAAACAGTGAGAGGCTCCACCTGGTGCAACAACCAGGTACTGCAGCTGATCTATGATACATTTTTTTCTGCCATATCGATTAATATATTTCTAATTGGTGCAGGACTTATTACTGCAGTAAAAGAAAAACAGAGTCCACGGTGAGGAAAAGTATGACTGGAGCAAATAAAGCATCCAGAAATCACTTCGAGTTCGGAAGGTTAAGAACGGATTCAAAATGAGCAACAAGCTGCTGGTTTTTATGACGTGACAACAAATTTTACTGACTCTGTTACTTCATCTTATTCATTTTTTAAGAACTTTAGGACCTATTTTATGAATATAAACGAAGGCAAAACATTTCCTGCAGCTCAGTTTGAAGAGTTTTGCTTAAACTCTTAATTCTGTTGCCCTCAAAGCATAAAATGAAGTGACTGCACAATTTTATTTATACTGTATTAGAGCAGAGGCAGCCGCTATTGACAAAACATGTACTGAGATATTTCATAAAGTAACGAGTCTGTTTTCTATCAAATGTGTGCATCACGTCGTCATGTCTTAAACAAAAAAAAACAAGACATAACAAGAGCAGTTATTAGTGTTCTGCCTTCATTTGGTCTGAGCTGCATCAGACTGGGAGGAAATCCAGCAGCAGCTCTGTTACTGTTCTTCAAGGACACTGGACAAACCACATGAGAACACCAGATACTGGATGATTTGCTGTCAAAGAGTAAACGAGATGCTGCTGCACGTGCAGACGACGGCAGGAAAGCTTACAGCCGGAAAGTACAGAGAACACGGCAGCCTTCATGCAACAAGCAACAGCAGATTTATCAGAAACATCTTCAGGTTTTGCATTTTTTCCCCCCTTGAGAGTCAATAAATATGATATTCATTGTGATGCGTGTTGAATTATCATCAGTTTCTCTGTTCAGTGGTCATTTCCACTCTGTATGTTAACATCCTTTAAGACTAAATCAGACATCATGGAAGCAGATTGCAAGTTTGCACATAAAACAACAACATATAGGCGCTCATGAACACCAGTTTTTGTCTCCTACCAATGAGTCCACATCATCTTTTTGTCAAAATATCTAAAACTAGAACCTCATCTTGCCATACTTGCCAAATTTCAAATTCCACTGATGCTAGAGCCTCAACAGTTGGTGAAACGTCGACCAAAGACTGTATTTTAGTAGAAACATGGATCCATCCATAGATAGACACTTACTTGAACTTTCTGGGGCCACAAAACCTCCATCAATTGGAAATTTTGACATTTTTTCCATTTTTAAGGTCTAATTATTAAAAAATTCGAATCTTCTGGAGCCACTCAATCATGTAGATCTACTGGAAACCATGTTGTTGGTGGTTCTACCAAATGTCACGGCTGTGGGAGTTTTATTTCTGGTGGTGTTGAACCTTTAAGTTGGCTTTTCCAGGTAAAGACGTTTTTTCGATGGTAAAAACATGAAATGTCTCCAAATTCTGCCAAAATATTTGATAAAACTCAGAACATAAAAAACAACAACAACCGTTTGACTCAAACTGACCCAGATACAGACAAAGTTACCAAGTACTGGAGGTAACCGTCGGATCTTCTGCACCACTGAGCTTGGACGTCTTCTTCCTTTAACTTCACATTAATCCTTCGTCTTCGCTTTATTCGTCTTTCTAACTGTTTCAGGTAAAACCCTGCAGCTAATAAACCCTCCAAAGTGCTCCGAGGCAGGCTGGTTAAACGTATTATGGTCTACAAATGGCTTATTTTGTGTTTACTTTCAGTGAGACTCGCCGTTTTGTGACTCTTTATTTCCCAAAATCAATACAACGGAGGCGGAGAGTGGAGAGCTGGAAACGAGGCACGGCTTCCTTTAACAAAAAACTAATTTGTGCCGTTTTCTGTTGATTTCTGAGAGCAGAAACTGAAGCTCGGTTCGGATTCTGTTCTTTTTCTGTGATACTTTTCTGAATAAACCTCATAGACGAGCATCTCTTTACAAATCGTTCTGATTCTTCAGCCAACTGGTCGGTCACCAGGAAACTAAATTAGCTAAAACGAACCACAGAGCAGTAAGTGACTCCACCTGCAGCCTCATTATGAGTCTAAACTAATGTAAAATCAACATAAAAAGTTGGTATTTGCAGCGTATTAAACCACAGAAACCTCGTTATTTTCTACTGAAATGATCAGAGCGAACCGGGAGCAAAGCAGCTGCAGGTGATTTATGATCAACTGGAATAAAACAGATAAGTTGAGCTGCAATATAAGGAAAAAAAAAAACAGAAAAAAATCACATTCAACAAACTGTAATCAGAGAATTCAGACTCAAACAGATTAATTGATCGTTAAAATAGTTGGTGATTCATTAAATTAGTGGTCGACAGCTCCAGTGTTCACAGAAAGTCATGAACCAACAGCGTTTCCGATGGAAAACAAGAGGTTTTATCAGCTCAGGATTCATTTTAGAGCCTCAGCGATTAGACGACGGACACGAAACTCATCAGCAGCTCCTGATTTTAGCCGTTTTCTCAGCAAAAATGTGGAAATTTGTGATGTCAGGCGCCTCAAGTTTTAGGATTGGAGTGTTTTCTCTGCGCTAAATTGAATATTTTTAAAGTTTTGGACTCTTGAAGAGGGCAGGAATCAGACAAAAAGTTGAGTTTTGTCCAAAGACATTCAGTTTACGGTCATACAGAAGGAAAAAACTGAAAATATTCACATTAAAGAAGTTGCAAACACAGAGTTTAGACTTTAAAAACGTACTCCAACCAATGAATCAAGTGAAATAGGTGCAGACTAACCTACGAGTTGACAACCAGTTGATAAGTTGTTGGATGGATCCATGAATTGGCGTCGAGTTAGCTGCTGGTTCTATGATCTACATGCTGGTTGTTGAGTTCATAAATCGACTTTTTGGCACAAAAATGCAAAAACACCAACGATTTCTTTCAGATGGTGTCAGTTAGTTTGGAGCCGACTCCGAATAAATGTTCATTAAATGCTAATTAAGTAGATTTAACTGTTTCTATCAGGGTGGATCAGTGCAAAGTCGTTAAAACATGTTTTCACTACAAATAAAACTTGAAATAATGGTTTAATCCTGGAAGACTGTCGATTTAATTTAATTTTTTTCATGAAACTAAAACCAGAAGATTCTCCAGTCAATGAAAATTTGGTCCAATGGCAGTGCATTGACCAATAAAAACCCCTACATTTAAGCTGAGTTTCTTGAGTTAACAAAGTTTGTTGAACCTGTTTTCCAACTCTTATCTGAACAAACGTTGCGGAAACACAATAAACTTCTTACATAAGACTGCCTGCCGTTTGCCCTAATGATCAATCATTCTGCTAAAACAGGAACAAAAGTGACTCTGTGCATAAACTACTCTCACAATAAACAGTAAAAAAAAAAAAAAAAAAAAGGCCTCTGCAGCTGTAATACGTCACAGAACGCTAAATATAAGCCGTGAAGTCCTCGGGCCGGATGATGTAAATGACCCACATGTGGAGCCGGCGGAGCGTGAAATGTTCCCACAGAGCTGGCGAAGTGACGAAACGGTGCCAAAGGTGAAGAGAAGAGATCTACTAACGGTCCATATAAACCCGAATGTAAAAGCAGAAGACAGTCGGGCTGCGTGACCTCAGGTCGGCTACAGAACGCTGAGTCCAAACTGTGCCGGTTAATCAGTGACAGAAGAGCAGCAGCAGAAACATGCTGCCGGTCGGGTTGAAGGGTTTCCAGGCAGATTCTCACCAGAAATAAAACCAGAAAGGTGAGATTTAGGCACTTATCTACAGAAGCAAGTAGAGAAAAACTCACTTTAATGCCACAGGAGTCCACATTTAAAGGCCAAAACTGGACAAATAGCTGCTACAAGTTACATTTATTGGCAAAAAATAAACAC